TAGCTTTGGTGTCGTTTAATAAACATTTACCTTTATAAACGCTTACTGCTTCAATTACCTTATCGTGTGAATATAACAAGGACCGAAAATCTTACCCATTAAGGGGGAAGGCAAGGATCAAAAGAGTATTACTCAGTAAATAAGGATGATGACTCTTACCCGAAAAGTGTTTACCAGGTTGGTTATAAACGTTTGCAATTAATCCACTTTATATTACTCCATAAAGTAAGTGAGAATGATGACTCTTACTGGTAAGCGGTTACAACAATTTGCTTCTTGCGGTTCTTGACTCCAAATAAATATAATAACTATAAAATTGACATTAAATATCAACGATATCAATCAAAAATAGACTTCAATTAGAACGTTTCAGTTTTATAGACATTCACGATCAACTATTTCTCTTATTGGATGGCAAAAGATAACTCGGACATCTATCTATCTAAAAAGACTAAACCCACAATCTAACGGTTGTAAATACTCGATTATTGAAAAGAAGACGAGAAACGTCAAAACCTTCACAATGTGAACCCAACTAGTTTTTGGACAATGTTTAGGTCTAATGTTTGTTTTTTAACTATGGTTAATGTTATAGAATGGAAATTGAAAATATTAAGATAACCGCGAGGACTAATATAAACCATTGAACAATGTAAATGACTACTAATAAACAAGTTTGTTTTTAACAAAAAAAAAAAAAAGTGAATATTTAAATAAAAGGACGATTTAGGGCTTTATAATTCACTAATAGAAAGCTGGGCATCAACGATGGACAAATCTGTATCAAACTAAAACGACGCCTACCACCAAAACCATCTTCACACTTGATCGAAGAAACAAAAATAACTTAAGGGCCGTTTACCAAACACTTAACCGATAAGTACTTATCGGTAAAATTCAATACTATTATTTATTTACTAAGTAAGATTTTAGTCAACAAAAACGGCTTTTTATGCGACAATTTACTCGGTAAGAGCTAACTGTGGTAAGAGTCATTGTCCTCACTTACCGGGTAAGACTCTCAGTCCTTGCCTCGTTCTTACCGGGTAAGATTTTTGGTTCTTATCATATTCATCCGGTAAGGTAATATAACTTGGTAAGCGCTTACCTAAGTAAACATTTGGTAAACGGCCCTTAATATTCAGAACGTGTACACAACATACCACATTCTTAGTCATAAGTCTGTCTTTTAGAGCTTTCAGAGCTGGTTCAAGATTTGTGGACACCCATCTCAACGAAACATTTAAAAACCAATCCGGTGACTACTTGAATCGCTACAAGTTTCTTTAAAAAAAAATGATCGAACTTTACATCATAATAAGAGTCAAATTTTCATCTTTCAGGCCGAACCGTATATGGGAACATATATACCTTTGAATCATGTATATACACCGTACTTTCTTCTTTAAACTACCTTCGTATCCATCTCTATTTCATCATCCTCTTCAGATTCATTCACTTTTGATAATCCAAGAAAGAATATTTTTTTTTTGTAAATTCTGATTTATTTTTTAAATTCGTTAATAATAATAACGTATTTGTAATAATAAGTTTTAATATTAAATTCTATTAAAATTTAAACTTAGTATATAATTAATTAATTACTATTAAAATTAATAATGTTCAAGCTTGAGTCTATCTTAAGTGCATACTAAAACTCGTTAAATTTAACGAGTCAAGCTTTATAACACCAAAATGTTCGATTCAACTTATTCAAAAACTTGATTAAATTTTTTCAAATTGAGGTCGAGCCGAGACATTCTCTTATACGTATGTACGTATGTGTGCAGTAGTGGATATATGTATATATATGTAGTGAACACCTTATTAGTCTTATTTAATTCTTTTTCTCAAAGAAGTTCTATAGCCACAAATGTAACACCCCATAATCACATTTGCATATAACCAAGTATTTCATATATCAAGAAATATTAATTTACACATTAGGTCCCAAATATACGAAATCTACATTATAAAAGTAGCTACCAAATTTTTCCATAAAATTCATATACAAAAATTGTATATACAACAAGTATTTCGAAAACCAAAGATAAGCATGATGTCCTCAACATTCCGTGTAAGCATATAAGACATCTCACAATTTCCCTTTTCCCTTATCATTTGATTGAGTTTGACATGTAATGCACATTTTTAAAACATAAAATGAGGGTTAGACCTCTGAGAAATACTTTTTTATGCAATTATAGGGTGAAAATCACCAAATCATGTTTATAAATGATTATTTGGTATAATAACAAATATACATCATTTTGGCGAGACAAACTCAAGTCCGCGCGACACACTGGTGCGAGAATCTCTACTTCTCGCATCATACAGAGCGAGACCAACCAGAGCCTCTCTGGTCCTTAAGGACCAGAGTCCCTCTGTTCTTACCAACCAGAGCATGACCAACCAAAAGTAAGGCCAACAAGGCCAACCAGAAGCCCTCTAGTCTTACCAACTAAAGCCCTTCTGGCCAACCAGAGCCTCTAGGACAAGAAATGTTAAATACTTGAAATATTCTGAGTTTCAATTACAACCAGGGACCCTCTGGTTAAACATGAAGATCAATCAGAGCTCCTGTGGTTCCTCTACCAAGGATCTGGATATTTTCTAAGCGTTCAAACGAACAATCAAAAGCAAGGTCAAGCCAATCAGAGGCCCTCTAGTCTTAAAACAAGTTCCCATTTTATTACAACAACTTATCACATCAATAAGATGCGACAACTTAAGTCCTCGCATCACACAGATGCGGTAACTCAAGGTCATTGCATTACAAGGATGTGATAACAACAACATATGATCAAAACCATGATTTGACAATTTCATGATTATGTTACCCTTATCCTGATATGCACATCTTCTTAATATGTCACTCTTATACCAGTATACATCTCTCTTTGATATGTCACTCTTATTTCCACACAAGATGTAATCATAATAAAATCGACCAATTTTGTCAATAGTGGCATCAAAACAGTTTCATAACATAAACTCATATAAGGAATTATACAGTTCTATATCCAATTTCCAAATAAGGAAAATTCATACAAATTAAACTCACCACCATGGTAAGAATAACATCCAAAAACAGTTTTATCATCAATCCTATGTAAGAACCGTATGACTCAAATTTCAAATACCAATTAAAGAAAGTTGATGAATTTAAACTCAGCTTGATTCACAAAGAAGCAAATAACAGCAACAAAAATTCAAGAAGAAATCACATAAATCAGCTTCTACTTCTCCCCCTTTTTTGTTCTAATTTTTCTCTCGAACTCAAGAACATACAGAAGCTTTTCTTTCTTTTTCTCCACCAAAATCAATAAGATAAGATAACATATCTTATCACTCCTTTAAACAAAGCATAAGGCGGTGGAGTTTTTAAAACATTTATTCTCACACCCTCCCATGAGAAAACACAAATATCCTGTATAATATAATATAAACAATAAGGCGGTGGAGATTAATTTAAACATTTAAGCACATACACAAATTAAACTCCTCAACTTATCATCTCCTTTCAAAAACAATCCCAAACAATATAACCGAATAACCCTGTTATCACAACAAAGGCAAATGTTGTTGAATTAGATGTCAAATGGGTATATTCCTCAATGAGTATATACCTATGAACTTCCGTACTATAGTATATAAGTTTTGAACTATTTTGAAAATAAGGGTTTCGATAAGTTAAAAAAATCTTAAACAAATATTTTAATTATCAAAAAACGATATTAGATAACATTATGTATTAAAAACGACCCTAACTTTTTTAGAAATGCACTAAACACATATTTTTTCCTGAGCAACCGTGGGTTTTCGGGTCAACTGCATTTATGGGTGTAAATGAATCGAGCTTTTAATGAGTTAGGGGTCGCTTACCAAACATTTACCCGGTAAGCATCTAGCGGTAACATTCAACACTATCATTTACTTACATAGTAAGATTTTAGTCAACAAAAAACGGCTTTCTATGCAACAAATTACCCGGTAAGAGCCGACCGTGGTAAGAGTCATTGCCCTCACTTACCGGGTAAAACTCTAGGTCCTTGTCTCGCTCTTACCGGGTTAGATTCATGGTCCTTTCCATATTCATCCGATAAGATAATGTTACTTGGTAAACACTTATTCAAGTAAGCATTTGGTAAACGGCCCCTTACTCGAGCTCAAGCTTAATAGTTTTCGAGCTCGAGTCAATCTCGAACACAAAATAGAACTTGTTTAACTTAACGAGTCGAGCTTCATAAAACCAATGCTCGACTCGGCTCGTTCGAAAGCTCGATTAAATTTTTCGAGTCTAATCAAGTCGAGCAATTCAAACATATACTTTTTTTAAGTCAAACATGCTCATATGTACATAAATAATTCAATGGAAACATAAAAATTTATCAACCACGAGCCAATAACGAGTTAATCGATCGTGAGTACGAGGCCTGTAAACAAGCATCAAGCTCGAGCTTGATAACTTAAAAAATATTCGAGCTCGAGCCCAGTACAATTTTTTCAAGCCAAGCTCGAATAACCTACCACTCGACTTAGCTCGGCTCATTTACACCCCCTACGGGAACCAAATAATCCCCGGGACAACCATGAAATGAACAACCTGAGTCATCGTAGTGTCTGAATTCGAACCTAGAGTAGATGAAATTTTTCATTACAATCTCCTGAAGGCCTAAGGCTTAACTAGTACGTCATAACTCAAGTAGTTACTAAGCGTATAATCTATTGTGTCATTTACGAAATTAAGTAAAATTTAATTTTTATGTTGCATAAACTTTGTTGAAATTATTATATTTGCAATTTTGATAACTAAATATATTGAATAAAAATTAAAAATTAATAATATAATTAATAATTATTGTAAATAATTAATAGCTGAGAATTCCACAATGCCCTGTCTTCGTTCCGTGTCTGCTTCGTTCGTCGCTTTTTTTGCGAACAAAGTAGAGGAAATGTGCATGCAAAGTGATTATAAATAAAAGAATTCATTCAGTATGAAACTAGAGGATCAAAGTAGAGCTCATTACTTGAGTAATCAGGTAACATAACGATCAAACTCAACCTAAATATGTGTTTAAAACTTGGATGATGTGTGTGAAATTTATTTTAGATTCTGGTTCTTGTTTTTGGGTTTGATTAAGCTTATGTTAAATCTTTGTAGTATGATATGTAGGGGATGATTAAGTCCAATTAGGGATTGAAGGAATCAAATTGATGATGACCATGTTTGGTGTTATTCAATTGTGGTTATAATACTTTGATGAGGTCAAAGATTAAGGAATGAAACCTTTGAAAACATATTTGAGCTTCAAACTTAGGTTGCTCAACAAGTGTTTGATGAAATGTTTGATAGATATTTTGTAGTTTTAAAGTTTCTGTCTTGTTATTAATTAATTCATAGAAAATTAACTGTTGGTCCAAATGAGGTCTACGATATACCATTGGAAAGCTTAGAATGTCCTCTAAAACTGTTATGAAGAGTGCAAGTCCTAACTATGATTTTAAATGTGTCAAAATACTGAGTTTTTGGATCAGCTCACAGTGTGCATAAGTACCTGCACCCTGGTTTCGTAAAGGTTGTACCGATCTACTCGTAACTCCGATTTAAATTATTCTAGTTTCTGTAGAATCCTAAAATTTCAATATACAACTTGTATGCAGTATCTAAAACCTAACTTGGCTTCTAAATGTGAGAAAAATATTGGAACGTAAGGTGTTAGCAAGCTGCCTTATTTCTATTTTTTTTAGGTCCAAATGGTGATTGTTTGTCAATTTTTGTTTAGGATCTTAGCAATTATGTTGGGCGTTGATTTAGTGTTTACTAAATGATTTTGTAGGTGATCAAAAGTAAGGAAAGGACTAATTAAGGTACATATATCCAATTCCTTTGACTCGAGAATAACGGTTGCACCGGGAAATCCCATCCATCTTGATAGACGTGACTCTGAACTTTACAGTTTCGAGTACTTTTATAGGAAACATTTCTTTCTTTTCAAACTTGAGTTTATGTTAATCATTTGAATATGTTTCATGATTCGAACACATTGTTGAAATAGTTTGACCTTTTGATTATTGACTTCATGTTTTACGAAAGTTGTATGATTTCAAAATGAATTGATTTTTTGAAGATACGATCCATTTTCAGTTAATTTAAATATTTTGAATGTATCTGTTTTTTGTTGTTTATATTATTATGAAATGTGGTTTTATGATATATTGAAACATGGATTCTTTTTAGAGACACAAGTTTTCATGATTTTGAATTAGACTCAACAATTGGGTCACGGGTGTTGAAATGCCTTTCCGTGGTGGCTATTAATGACCATGGCGTTCTCGTAAAGGCTAAGGCCAAGCCAAATAGGGGACGTAGGATGCATCCAAGAGCCTAATATCAGAAAATGTCTGGTTACCTGATAGAGCCGAATACTATAACTGAACTGGTTACTAGGGAATGGGTGGTGATGTGCCCAACGTTGACATTCCAAGTTTGATTGGACTGATCATCTTATAAGACAACGTATTATTACAATACGGGTGACTTATTGGTTTTTAAAAATGATTTCTACATTCTTTATTCATGTTCAAAATAGTTCGGCTAGGATTGTTTAACGCTAACTTTTATTTGAACTTATATCATGTTCACACCATTATACACATTATCCATCTATTGAGCAATTTTGCTCAGCGGAGGCGTTTTCTGTTTCCTCGGCAGGTTCAGGTTCCACTCCAGGGACGAGTTGAGCGATCAAGATATCTCTAGAAGTAAAAATGACCTAAGATCAACTTTTGTATGTCGGGTTTGTATAATCTTTTGGTTTATCTTGTTTTTAGTTTATTCATTTCAGAATGCTTGCTGAATAAATCTTTTTATAATACGTAATTATCTAAAATATTATTATTATATTGAATTTAATATGTAGTTTGGTAATATAAAATATAAGGATAGGAGTGTAATTAAGCTTTCCTTTTTTAAGTTTGAAGTTAATTTATTTGATGGATTTTGTTAATGCATCTTGATTTTAATAGTATTAATTATAAGGCTAATTAATTTATAAAAAGCTAGCATGCATTTATGCTTCAACAATGTCTCATATAATTCTTATTAATGATCAAAAACAAATTAATTTTGAAGAGAATGAATCTCAAAAATGTTGGTGATTTGCAAAATGTACTTTAACGAATGTTTATATTATATTATAAAGTATTTAGGTTAAACTTTTAAAAATCATTTTTTATAATCAAGTACTACTTATTAATGCATGTTACTTCAAGTTCAAAATTACAAGTTAATTAAGCATCAGTACAATTTATTAAAAATTCATGTTTAAATTTGTGTAACTAACTGTTGATAAGCATAATAAATATTACATAAAAACTATGAGATGGAACACTTATTTTTATTTTCTAAAATATATAAAAATTTAAATCTCTTCATATAACTAACTGATAAACAGAATAAAATCCAAGATAAAATATCTCTTCTTTATTAAATTATATTATCTATTTAATTGATCTTTGAATTCTAAGATAATACTTTATCATTTTTTTTATTAACCTGAACATCCAACCCGCTATACAAGCCGACTAATCTCAGGACGACCACCTGCTTTGCAGATAGCCAAGAGTCGCCGCATTTGAACCTCCATGGCCACAAGAATTTTTATTCCTTCTTGGATTTGAACCTGGAACCTCCAGGTACTTTTGACCTTTGGAGCCAAGCTCAAACCAATCAAGCATCACCCTTGTGGTTAAAAAAATACTTTATCATTAAATACTGGGACTAAGGCCATTAAACAAAATGTCACTTGAATTAACTTATTTCTTTTTTAAAAAAAAATATCAGTTTTACAAAAGAATGTATGTGAAGATAATTAAAAAAAACTACCTCAACTGGGAGCATCTCTTGAGCCCTCCTTTGTGGTGGTTGTTAAGATCAATATCCTCCTTACAAACATTCAATATGGAAGTGGAACATTCTTCTATCTTTTCCATTAGAAGCTTTAGTATTGGAACAAATGAAAGTGTTCTTTGTGACCCAACCATAATCAGCTTTTTCTGAAAACATACACAAACAATCAGAATCTGAATCTGCTGCGATATACCAAGTTTGTTTGGTTTATCATAACACAAACAGCGAATTCAAAGCGAAAAAGATAGGCATACAAATTGTCTTCCTATGTCCTAACCTTCTAAGTAACCCTTTTTTCATACAAATTAAATGCTTCTTTATTATTATTATTATTATTATTACTACTACTGCTACTACTATTATGTAGATTGCTAACCTTGGCACGGGTGAGGGCGACGTTGATCCTGTGCCAGTCACCAAGCAGTGAAGATTTGCAGTTCTTTGGATTGTTGCTTGACCTTACAAACGACACCAATATGCAATCTTTGTCCCTTCCCTACATGACGATACAAACACAATCCATTACTACATTATGCAATTCAGTATGGACCCTCGAAACTCATTTAAAGATATAGAGAAAAATCAAATTTATAAGTTTGTACTTGGAAACGAAACGTGAGATGTGTTAAGAAAAAATATTAATCAACCTTATGGTCAGTGGCTGAACCACTGGTTCAGATTGACCTTTATGATATAACATGGTTTATCCAATGAAAAATACTTGACACAATTTGTAACTCAGGCATCTTTTCTTTGAAGTTAATTCCTTTTTTCATAGCATTACTTCTTAAATTAAATGCAATGAAAGTTGTAGGTTGCCGTTGGATTATAACCTCCTGTAAAATATTACCTGGTACTTGTCGATGGTATGTATCTCCACTGATTGTGTAACATGTTGTTTAATGAGGTGGGCCTGAGAGTTGTAAGGAGTTATAACACCAATATCTTCTCCCTGGATGCCTTGGCAACTCAATTTATCAATTATCTGCAACCACAAAAAAGGGTAAAAAAAATCAGATCAAACAACAGGAAGATCATTATGAAGCACGGGAGGAAAAATTTACTGCTGGAAGTTACACCCCGTCACATGAAAATTGTAAAAATGGTCCAACGAAAATCGCAAGAATTCACTTTTTGCCAAAATTTCGAAGTAGAATTACCTCTTTTTCTCATTGTCATTATTCCAACTTATTGGTGCTATTGATTGTGATCCACAAGATTTATTTATTATGTTTTTACTGGAGCATGTTGACATAAGTGTGTGTGCTGTAAAAAGTTGCAATTTTTCATGAGATGGATGAAGTATTTAAGAAGCAGTGCATACCTCTGTGATTATGTATGCTTCAAGTGGATTATTTACCGTCTTGCAATCTTTAACCTCTAAACCAGGTAAAAGATCTGTGAACATGAAATATCTGTAAGCAATGGCGGAAACATGCAAGACTTACAATTGATGAATGATAGAATAACACCTATACAAACCTGTATTAATGAATATTACTGGTCTGAGTGGATCCAGAACCTGAAGATCAATAATGAACTTCAAGGTTATATGGTATTTTTTTGAACAAACATCTAGAATATCAATATTGATGGTGGTAATGAGAAAGTCATTTTTTATCCTTACTCGATATAAAATATCATTTTATATCTATACCATTGAGCTGGAAGACCTATAATTAATTACCTTATTCAGCCATGATGGCAAAGATGTTGAACTTGTGTACTCAAGTTTTGCATTTGCTACATCAGGAGAACCACAACAGAGCCTATTACCATATATCAAGGCATTGGATAGCTCCATAATGGGTGCACACATACGGTACTGCAATTTACAATATAAAAATTTAACATATTTATCAGATAACATAGAAAAATAAATTGTTTTGGGCTATAAAGAGTAGTTGATATACACCTGGCTTTGCAAAGCTGAAATGGCCTGGGGATGTGCTTCTGAAAGTCTGCAAAAAAGGCTTACACCCATTCCATTTTCCCTAGCTTCAGTACTCTGGGATGTGAGAATGTCAAAGCTGTTGTTTTAGTTGTATATGACCAGAAAGTTAAAATGACACAAAGAGAAGATATAAATACCTGCACAAGTGGAGGCAATTGATAATGATCTCCCACAAGTACAAACTTTGATGCAAACATCAAAGGTCCCAATGAGACCTATAAAGAAAATCCCATTGTCAGATAACTTTTTTGTGAATATATCTTTAGGAAAACAAAAATAAATGTCACACAGCCTGGCTTCATGAAAATACTGGCAGTCAAGATAAACAATAGACATATATAGAGTACTTAACTGTGGATATAGGGTCAGGTCAGGGGATAACCGCAAAAAAATGAAAAACTAAGAAACACTTCGGTACTTGTTCATCGGAACGGTAGTACCTGTGCATACAAGTAATTTGTAAGCAATTTGTCGGTATGTACATGTGCATAACATGCACACGTGCATAAAAACCAAGAAACCAGGGTGTTAGTTTTTCATTTTTTGGGGGTTTTTCCCTGAACCTCCCTCTGTGCGCATACATATATATATACACATACATATGTATATAGAGAGAGAGAGAGATCATACAAAGAACACACACATAGCAGTTAATGTAGTTTTTATTTCTGATGGTTATTAGCTTCAAGTTTGGTTACAATTTTGGAGCATTTGGAATTGGAAATAGTAAATCAAACTTATCTGAAATATTCATGTCTGAAAAAACTTAGAATCACACAAACAAATGATCTTAAAGAATGCAACACGATATGATTTTCATACAAAAGAATTACATACTGGAAGTGTGATTTGTCCAGCTTCATCCATAATGCATACATCAAATTTCTTGTCAGAAAGCAGCGGACTGGTTATTCCTAAGCATGTCACCGCAACAACCTTGGCTTCATCTAGTCTCAGCTTAATATCTTTGGTGCTTTGCATATCAGCCGCTGTGAAGAGTTAATATAATTCAATATGTATGGCTCAACTGATAAAGAATGCACACTGTTTATGAAATCTTGAAGTAAATAATCCAACCATTAATGCAATTCCCACGAATACCCTCATGCACGGCTTCCTCTCTACCAATACGTATAAAATCAATGCCCTGAAAAGTAGTTAATGGTTCAGTACAGTTCATAAGAAATTCGTAGTAGTTCAATGTAGGTGAAAAATGAAAAGAATACAACAAGCAATGAAATTCATCAGCCAGCAGCCACATTTCTATCATTTCCATGCCAAGACATAACCAGAAGGGTGAATGAAATACCATACTGACAGAATGATGAACAGCAGTAAGATTACAGATGAAAGTGATCTTTTGCTAATATTATGCTGTGTTCTTCTCGAGTTTTCTGTTTGAGAGAAAAGAAATGATGATGATTTTCTTTTTGCATGTTCTCAAGTTGAAAAGCAAGGAAAAAATGTTTTGTTTTAGTTTTCTTTTCTGTTCTTGAGTTGAAGAAACAGAGAAAGAAAGCTGACAATTTTACAATCATACCCTTGTAAAACCAAACCAAGCAAAGCCTGTAAGTCCCACACGAACTAGTGTCGGAGAGGATAGTATGTACACAGACCTTACCTCTACACCAAGGAGTAGAGAGACATTTCCGTGAAGATCTCCGGCTTGTATAAAGTTTTTAAGAAAATGATTTTGTGAAAAAAATATATATTCCGAAAGTTATGCTGCCAAAAGACAACATCGGTGTAAGATTAGTTAGGATAGATGTCAATGATAAGTGGATGTGAGGCAACACAGAACGGATAGGATTGACAAGATGGTGTTCAGAGAAGGTCGACATGGCACAATTTGAGAAGAAATCGACTTGGACCCACTTGAGATAATTAAATCATCTTCCAAGGTAGATTACTTAATACACTGTAGTAATATTCATGTAAAATTTAAATAGCAACTGTGTTTTGCATCATATGGTTATTTGTGTGGCACATGTAGTAATTAGAATAGGATATAATAGTTTTTTTGTGACATTTAAATGAATTCAAGATGATTAACTTCTGAAGGTTATAATTCACTGACATGTTTTAATCTGCAGAGAGAAATACAGATCTTGTGATCTTGAAGAACAGCTTCTATTCATAACTCTTATCTATTGGTCTTTGAAATGAATACAATTTTCAACAAGAACAGAAAATGTGAAAGCTTAAGATAACTCACTGGTCTAATATGAAATGAAGACAATTGATGATGGGAATGAATACATCAATTTACTATTAGATGCATAAATGTTACAGAATGCATCAAGGTTAGAGAAGACCTGAAATTTTAATTTGATAAGCAAATTATCAACAGCAGAGTTTGTGTAGGACGTGAGCAAAATGGAGGCACCTCTCATCAACAATGCTTTCACGGCATGGACCATGGTGGAAGTCTTGCCTGTACCTGGCATTCCAAGGATAAGTGTATAATCCTTTGCGGTAAGTATCTGAAAAATGCAGAATGGTCTCGATAAGTAAAGCAAGCAATTATACAAGACAACTAGGATTAGCTGATCATCATTTAAAATTTAGGATTAGACTAACTGTTGATGCCTAACCTTTAATATTGCTTTCCGTTGATCGTCGTTTAAAGTCTTCTCTGACCAAATATATGATACAGCAGGATCTTGACTGAATATACAACCACCATCATATTGAGGAGCCTACATGAAATGTATATGAGAATAGAACACGTAAATGGAAGAGACTTTTAAATACAAGATCATGTGAAGGATTATGCATGCTAACTGGACACTCACATGAAGGTCCACAATCATACTTCGAAGGTGGGAACTCCTCTCATCTTGTAGAAACATTTGAATGAGGTTGAACCTTGAAATAGACAATAGAACATAAGCTACAGACTGCATGATCCATAAGATAAAAGGACAATTGGAAGTCAAAATAATAATCAGGGCCTCTAATTACCTCATTGTCGCAAAGGATGCTGTAAATTCATCTTTATCGATCCGCCAAACCTCTTGACAAAGATCATGGATGATTTTAGAAGGACTGCTCCCTGGAAGCCTTAGACGCTTTGAGAAGGAAACCTGTACAGAAATAAAGACAATGCAGAAAGGATTGATTGCAGTTTGTATGATACCAAGAGAAAAATACTTTGTAGAAGTACAATCATTCTAGGTCATTAGTGCTCCTTGAGAACACGTGGTCCATTTACAAGCTGCTAGCTACTTTCTCTGGGAAAATAAACTAGAAACTAACTGAAGCAAATGGCTATACCGTGACATTGATGCGACTGATGTCCATTATGACACCTCTTCCAACCACAAGACGACCAGGATCAGTACTCAAGATCTAAGAACAAGTAAAGATGAGAATGTTAATATATGATTTAATAAGGACAACAATTAATGTCTTCTTTTATAGATTCAATAGAATTAATATATGCTGACATGCTTTTCAGTAGAGCATTGTGGCGGCACAATATGATGAGTTATGCCCCTACACCATTTTCTGCAAGGGGATTCTTGACGTTCATTCAGTTGCTCAAACATGGTTTTAGTTGATCTATTTTCTATTTATGCATTTTTTTTCTGAAGAAAATCAGAAAACATGTCCTGGGATCAAGGGCCAATCGTAGGTTCTGGAGTATAGAAACATATATGTCTCATTCTTTATCAGATTTCATATCCTAATATTGTGGCTGATATTGGTGTATTCTTTTACATGATCCATACATCCTTTATTGTATTGTACCTCATGTTGATAATCTTTAAATCCGATTTATATCTACCATAGCAACCACCGGGCCCAACCCATATTTTTTTCAACTGAAAGAATATAGGATACAGAAGAAAGCAACAATAAGAGGTTTTGTCTAAGGTTCAGATAGATGGGATGACTATGTAAAAAAAAACAAGTTCCGTCTATAAAATGTTGGTTTCACTTTTCTAGCAAGGAATACAACTAATATATTTGATAGGACACCAGAGACCTCAATTAGAGATGCTTTTTCCTTTTGAACTCCAATTTCTGAAATACCAAAATCATTGATATATATTATTTGATATTAGCAGATATAGTAATTGTGATACCTAAAAGGTACTGCTACTTTCCATTTTTTGTCGTTTTCAATCAAGTTAAATCTTGGGATTTCAAGCATACAACTTATTTACTACCTAATCACAGCGATATCAGGGTAGAAATGAATATGGTCATAAAATTACCACATAGTCTCCAGTTTTAAGTGAGCATTCCAAGTTCTGTCCTGAAGATGAAGGATTTAAATCATCACCATCATGGACTCTTCTATGAGGTTGAGGCAAATCTTGGCGCATAAAGCGATAAAGAAACCGGTTGGCTTGAGCGAAGTTTTTCTGTGGGACTTGGTCTGAAGTATCAAGAACAATGGAGGACAGACAAGTACTTGCCTGTGCACTCTTCATATGTGAGCTCCACATTTCTTTCCTCACAACCTGGAGATAGCAAGACGTAGAAAGAAAAAATAAAGTTCACAATAAAAAACAAAAGAATAAATACGCTAGTTAGTTATTGCTCTAGTTCATATTTATACCTCCAATTCATTTGCTTCCAAGTCAATCAACCTTTCCCATTTCTTAAGGAAGATACAATGAGCAGTCGTTAAATGGTTCACAAGTGAGCTGTAAACATCGCCTAAACCGCTGCCCTCAATGCTTCCATTGTGTGCCTTCAACGTACAACACAACCATTACAGAAAGCACACACTACAGTTATCCAGGACTATGTACAACACAACCATTACGGAAAGCACACACTACAGTTATCCAGGACTATGAATGCTTTTATTCTATGATTCGAACGAGCAATCATTTTTCCGTCTCATAATAAAAATAAATATGCAGAGTGAAAAACAAAGCTCACCGTATCTAAAACAAACAAAACTGCCAAAATCTATGGACATGTCTACCATGTAAAAATCAAGAAACATTACAGTAGTGATAAAACTGCAATCATGATTCATCAACCAACCATGTATTCTGGTTCAATGAAAATCCAAACCTGAGAATACATTACGCACAGAGAGAGAGAGAAGAACGAGTCACCATAAAAGCAGTGTTTTACAAAAATGGAAAGTGCATGCTTTCTTAAAAGCTCTGAGTTAGCAAATGAATTGCATTGCGCATTAGTAGCTGATATTGAAGGCCCACCACCAACTTCATTAGAGATCCCTATGCATAAAGAAATAGAAATATTTTCAAATACGGCAAGGTTCTGAACTAGAGTCTATAGTTCTATACTATCATTTTGGAATTTCACTGCGCCTTGTCCCTCTCCAACATAAATTTGCGACAATGTATTGTTTGATAGACCTCCCCAAGAGGTCAACAACATGCATAGCAGCTCATTTGCCGACTTGGCTGATTGACACAAGTTCATTGCTATTTCTTAATGTTTTCTCTCTTGAATTTTTATATATCTTTGATACTAATGAATTTAAACATTGTTTGCCACTGTCCTAGGCATGATCGTTGATCATTACTGTATGCTCATTGCTCCCTTCCTAATATATTTTTGTTTCTTTTATTCATTTAGTAAAAGGTTTGCAGAAGTCACATGATCTATTGAGTTCATTTTTGGTTAAGCTCATCTCAGTTTAAAGTGCTAAGCAGGGCGCATATTGCATACAGAACTTCCATGAATGAAAGTGTCTAATCCAAAGTGCTATGTTCCTTTACCAGCATAATTCAGCAGGCATCAGAAGAGGAAGATAATGCTTCCCATAACTCCATATTTAGTGACAGAAAAGCATGTTTTTGATCTAGAAAACTTGCATAAGAAGTTATTATGCATGCACACATAAGCTTCATGTCACCTTTCTTATAGGAAGATTTGGCTAAAGCTACAAACCATAATGGACCCTGATACAAACTTCTTTCCAAATAAATGGATAGGTTTTACTACATCTCCTTATAACCTTATTCCGAACGGTCTATGATAGCTGATGCATAAACTATGGTTTTGTAACACGATTCACGACAACGTCAATAAGTATAACATGGTTAGAATAGATATCAAGCAACAACTCTGCATAACATATGAAATTACAGGTGAGCAGACAAGCATACTAGCACAACAATTTTGAAATAAAAAAATTCACCACATATAACAACTCATTTAAAAAACAAACAAAATGCTTCGGTCTGTGAATATTTTGAACTAATAGTGCAGAAAATGCAAGGTTTGATGTTGGCATATTGTTTCCATAGAACAGAAATATACCTTATGGTAGATTGTACAAGCATTAAGATGCCTGCAACTTTTGCACATGTTTGGGACCTGAAACAATTTAACCATTTATTTACTTCAAAAGCAATGCATCACAGAGTATCTATAGATTGACAGGACAATGTAGGACTTAAAGACCTGCAACATTGGTGGAAATTGTTGCGTTGTTGATGCCTTCAAAATATCGCTTGCAAGTTCATTACGTCGCATAATTAGCCCAACCAAATCGGAACGTCGAACCGCAATTCCCTTTACAAAAGTGAGAGAACATGCAGCAGAGCAATAAAAAAATAAGAAAAGTGCTAGATACATCAAAGAAAGGCCTATAAGAAACTAGTTGTATGACGTTCTACCTGTGTCTGATCAGTGTGGAGATAATATAGTAGACCATAATCTATATTCTTTTTGTACCTGAAAGGAAGAAAATGAAATAGTAAGGCGAAAAAAGAAACAAAGTAAGCAAGAACAATAAAAAGTTTAAGGAGTTGCGTTTGTGGTAAATATATGATTAAGAGAGGTAACAGTTACAGATTAGTTAAACTATACAACACCTTTCAGACATAAGAAGAGTGTACAACATCACTTGGGCGCTATGTTCCATGGCTGCCTGCACTATGACAAGGTAGAAGTAATCTAACAGAATTGGAGTAAGAAATTCAATAAAGAAGCTCAATGGAATATACCTGCCCATTGGTAGCTTTTCCAGTTTTGAACTCTAAAGGCATGATAAAATCATTGGTTCCATTAGCTTTAGAAGTGACTTTTACATGCACAGACGCATCTATCACTCCTTTCAACCCGTACTTTGGAGCCCATGCCATCTCCTCAATATCAATAATCTAAATGAAAAGAAATAAAAACAAGAGCCTATTAATCCACTCAATGCAGCTATGGCTAGGCAAGTTAGAATACTTCCTAATTATAGAAAAAAATAAAGTAAAAAAGTTTGGTCGTTAATTTGACAAGTTTACTGCTTTTAAGAATACCAGACAAAAGTATCGCAGACCAACAGGGGTGTTCAAGTATTTAGTTAAGACCCATATTGCAAGCATATTTAAGACCCATATTGCAAGCATATTTGTATGGTTTGAAAACTGCAAACAAATGTGAATCACTTACATGTCTACTTATACTGATGAATAAGCATACCAAAGCTGTCCACAGTGACTATTTTAGAGGGCAATTGCACACCATGATTCAACTAGAAGAATTCATTATTGAATGGACTTCACTTTACGTGGAAACAATTGATGGTAATGTACATATTCAGAAGCAAATGAGACTACATAAGATGCTTACCTCAGATATATTCACCTTCTTATGTCCATCAACAGAGCCAAAATCAACACTAGGAGTCATAGGGCCCTACACAAATTGATAGTTTCAAAATATGTGCATAATAAGTACAAAATGTATTAAATAAAAAAGGTTCCGACCACGAATGGCAAAATTACAACTGGATTTTAAACCTTAAAAATAAAATTTAGGTCCTATTTACATAAGAAAATAGGTCCCAGTGTCATGCCCCAAGAAAATATTCTTAACATGGATGACAAATTTACAACTGGATTTTGAATCTTAAAAATAATTTAGGTCCAACCGGGAAGACATGGCATTTTGATGCTTTTTTGACTTCAAAACACAAAATTGTTTTCTTTGTAATTTGCAAAGTAAAATGGTCATGTCTTGTTAAACTACAAGTTTTAAACATCCTACTAAATAACGCCCTCTTGATAAAACAAGAGGGAAGCTATTGCTCCTGAAAAGGAGGTGATCCAGCCACACCTTCCAGTACGGCTAGGCATTGCTCCGTCAGGCTTTCGCCCATTGCGGAAAATTCCCCGCACAAGCGGTGGAGCATGTGGTTTAATTCGATGCAAAGCAAGGAAAAAAAAGGTCAATAGACTGAATTGAAAATAATAACCGTGACTGCTTTGAGGTTTTGGTAGACCAAACTGTATAGGTCCAACATATACTTCTCTACAACAGAGACAGTTCCTTCCAAGATTCAAGAGAAGGTATGGAGTTGAGTGAAATAAAATCATGGTGTCGTATTCACTCTTCACTTGCATAAGTATCCTAATTTTAGAAATGAAATGAAGTATTGAGATTGTTTATAGTTTTGGCACCTGTGAGTCTCGAAAGAGCAAAATCCAATTTAATAACCTTGGAATTGCATCAATCATCGTCTTGTGAATATCACCTTCATATACTGCAATGACAAGCAAAAAGGGAATTTGAATTTGTACAGGTACAAAATGTGAGCATTCTAAAATCACAACACATAGCCTAAGACTAAACAAATTAATCCCAGTTACTGCAGTAACAAGGCATTGATGTCTTTCACATGTCCAACAAAATGAAGGACCTATGAGCGATCAACATGAAAAGGGAATAGATTAAGAAGATGAAGAAAACCTAATATGATAAGGTAGGTCAAGGCTAAATATGGCAGGAAATTGAGAACAAATAGTATGTGTTGGCTGTTCAATTCATACATAGCAACAATTGAAGGCTCATTGCATAATTTGTATCGGTTATTACCAGTAGATGCTTTTCTCGATTCCTACGATATTTATTATAGTTACTCTATCCTTTTTTTTTTTTAGTTTCTCTGCAGGAAAAGTAAATTTTAATAGATATTCACCTCCACAAGCATACAGGCTCTCATAATTTTTCTGAAGCAAAACTCTAGCATACTCCTCCAGGAACTCTTTTGTTGGAGTTTCCCTAATAAGTCCAGCCTATCAAAGAAATGGAAGTCCATTCAGCTTACAATATTATTGCAATGAACATTGCTTTGGTCAAAGATAAAGTGGTAGTTTAAACTCAAAAGAAAATTATAGGTATTATTTAGCCAAGGACCTGAAATAGTTGATGGAGTAAGGTGCCAACTAGTGCTGAAGCTGACTGCTCATTGCTCTTTAACCTCTCATCCAGCACAGTCCTGCGTGGACAGCTGAAACTCCCAGCTACCTGCCAACATTTCGATTTGTTGGTTAGGAATCAAAATGGCATTTATGATTAACTGTTCGGAAAGGATTGTGTCAAATTAGCCACTAATACAACAGAATATGACGGTTAGATAAGATATAGTGAAACTAATAAAGATTACCCGCGTTCCAGACACCAATATATCGGGGTGAACAATTAGAAAATTGTTGTCACGGTTCACTTCACATTTTCCCTCATTGAATTCACCGATAACATGTACAGTATCTCCAGGTGCTATGACACTATAAAACCTGTAAATTAAATATGAAACATTTATCCCAAAACCTTTCTGAAAATACAGAAGTGGAACTAATTTCCAAAAGAGGAGAATTTCCTATTATGTGCTCAAAGCATAAAATGAACTGCACAGAATAGATTATGTAGAAACTAAAACAAAATAAATGCTAAAAACAAGTATAGCACTATTTCGTTCGGCCAAAGTGGAAACAGCAATTAGAATTTCTAAGTGTAGATCTAAATGAGAAAGTTTTCAGCAAATGACAGGAGTGCGGCACCCATTTTGTTTTTTCTATCATCATCCCTCAAAACTTACCCCTTACATGTCAAATGGACACATTCCCATGATTCATTGACCATATAATCAGAATATTGCTAGAATTAGCTTTGTAATTGTTTTGTCTCAATCGTAAAGCAGACAAACTTCAAGCAACCATTAGCAAGAAATTTCAATTAACATGCTGAACTAGTGAAGGTCTTGAATTTATAAGCAATAAAACTAAAACTGGCTCATGCAGCAGAAGAGTGGAATGACAACAGCAAGATTCTCTTCACAAAACTTGGCAGTCAGCATATGATATGCTATCACTATATCTAGCAATACAGATAAAGTGCTTCCCAATATTTGTAAATGAAATACATATGAAGTTGAATAATAATCAGCATAAAGAATGTCGCACAAAAAGACAATTTAGCTACATACCACTCATCTGACAGATACACAGAACGCTCTTCTCCACATTGCTCATTCAGTAACCTTAAGACCTGATCATGGTATCATGTTATTTCAACCTTCTTATACACTAGAGTAATATTGGGTAGAAAATGTTTCAGAAGCAAACCTTTGAAGAGCACTGAGATCCATTTGAACCAACAAACTGCTTCTCTGATACCTAAAGGAGAGAACAATGCAGCATAACGGATCCCCAATGGCTTATAATTTCAAACCAATAATGATGTGTACATACAATTCTGAAGCATACCTCGAACACAAGAAAATAAACATTGGAAGATTCTGTCTTGACCTTTCTTGTTGAACTTGAGCCAACTGCAAGTCCTTCCACAGCAACATCAGGTTCAACACATCTTTCATTAGAGTGTTCATTTTGATACGATGTGCTCTTATCCGTGCATACTTGATCTTCAACACAAATTGCATCTTCTACTTGATCCAGAAGTTCAAGCAATGCCTAAGAAAACAAAACACAAACAAGGGCTATAATTCTGTCACAGTATTGATTTGAACAGGGTTGCATAACAATGCTACAGATGGACCTAAAGGACAGAATTAAAAGCCAGTTCGTATAAAACAGTTTCAGCAAAACAAGAAATTCAAAATAGAAACCTTTTTGTGTTGCCTTAAACCCAACTGAGTTGATTCTTCATAGGTATCATCGCTATCAGCTGTCTGCATTTCATTCATGCAAATTAGTCAAAAGACAGACTTATAAGAAAGGGAGGATCATGAAGAAGAAGAGATAGAAAACCTTATTGTGGCATGACGGTGGAGTCTTAAAAGGACTCCTAAAGTTTATATTATTCTTATCAGTTGCTTTCTCATTATTGCAGAATGAAATCATATCTTGGTCAAGGTTACATTTTCCCAAAGTGATCCCCTTTAAGAACTTCAATGAATTTTCAGCAGCTTTCAGAGGAGGAGAAGAGAGAAATTTTTCAAGCTTGACTGCTGAGCAAGGAGAAATCTGTATTTCAAGCATTGACAATATCTCAGAAAGTTGTTTGAAATTTAGGTAAAAGTCAAATGCCTTACTAAGCAACATGCCACATGCCTTCTCGGAACTTGGTTTGAATTTCACAATGTTGAACCGCGAAGATTCTCCTAAAACTTTTCGCACCTCCACTAAATTCTTTGTTAATGCATGAAGACGCTCATTTACCGGAGAAATCCTCCATGTGACCTCATCACCTCCATCATCCTGGCTTTGGTGTATCAACTACCATAATATGACCAACACAAATAAAACACGTCAAAACTCAAATGGTTTCCAACTTCACATACAAACGCAAGCATTACTTTCCCGCTTGGTCAACTCTTCACAGAAGTTCCTTTGTTTACCGCCTTATCCCTCTTCCTTTAAGTCCTTATACCCAGTCCCAAAATCAAATACAAAAAAGAGAAAGAAAAAAAAGGAATATAATTTGTATTTACATAGTAGATGTTACTACTCATCCCCATTAGCAACCCCCGATGAATGCGTTTTTGTGAACTTTAATTCTGTTGGACTACAACAAATTTCCAAAGCAACAATTTTAGTTCTGTACTTTTTTACTTGACAACATGTATGTATCTTAAAAGTCATTGATTGAAGAAGGAATACAATGAAACTAGGCTCGTACTGTTATTAGTTCATACAGGACCAAAAAGATCTGCGTTTGATTATTGGGTTTCAAATTAGTTACTATGTTAACTCTAAAATCCATCAAAATTGGTTGATCACCAATAAAAATTGGATCAAGCCGTAAAGAGAGCATTGCAGCAGACAAAATTGGAGCTAAATCATAAATCTATGTAAATCTTGAATTTGAAATTTAGAATGAATATCTAATATCAAATGTGGATTGGGTTGTAGATCGGAATTACTAATATCTTACCATCCCAGGGGAAAACTTGATTCGTTTGCGAGAAACAGACTTGCAGAACTCGGGCGAAACCTCCAATTGATTTCCAGTAGCATCATCCCTAGCAACTGGTGTCAAATCCTCAATAGTTGTACTTTGATAAGGATTTTTGTCACCATTATTGTTCGCATTCTCCAAACCCAAATCTTTTCTAGGGTTTATTCCTGTACCGAAGCTGCTATCAGATTGCTGGCGAACTACAACACCAGTACTGGTACTGGCAACTGGGTCGAGTGGTCTTTCTGGAACCGAGCCGACGTCGACCGAAAATTCTTTTGCAATGGCGGGTTGTTGTTTTTGTGGGTTTTGGGAGACAGAGTTTTGCGTGTGGCGTTCGAAGAAATGCTGGATGCCAAACTTGGAGGGTTTCTGAGATGGTTGTTGCTGGATTTGGTTTGATTTCTTCGATGCTCCGGCGGCGGCTTTCTTTCTCGGCGCCATTTCTTGAAGAACCTTGCTCTGTGAACGTGGTGAGAGATAAATCGAAGTGCCTTTTTTGGATGAAATGGAGTTCCCGCCATAAAGGAGGGATTTTTGAGTGCTCCTTTGGTGGGAAGGGAAAATAGGCGTGTGGTTTGACATAAGTACCCTTTTAGTAAATTACAGTTTTGGTCCCTTTTCTTTTTTATTTCTCCTGGTTTTCATCCTTACCGGTCTAAAAACTACTCGGAATCCGTCCCTCCTGTAATGAACGTTAGCTTTAAACCGTTAGGTGATGGGTGTTTTGGTGATGGGTGTTTTGGTGATGGGTGTTCTTTTTTCATTAACGACCCCTTCCCCCCCCCCCTTTGATTTGAGCTTTTGGCAACTCAATACAACCACCACCCAACTCTGGTCATCTCCTTTGGCTGCCACCACCACCAGCAAAAATTAAAACCTTAAAATCAAGAATCTGAACTCAAAAATCATTGAACAAGAATCAAAAGTCTAAAATCAAAACTTAAAAGAGGAAGAGGACGATGATTCAAGGAAGAATAAAGATGAGGAAGATGGTGGTGGAGCAGTGAGAATAGGCGGCAAAGAGGAAGGGTTTTTATGTTTTGCTCGATGACATTGGTTGGTCCGATAAAGAAAAGTAGCTACATGAATAGAGTGGTGTTGGTTGGTGGTGAAAAGAAGGGCAATAGGATGCGTTTTATGTACAACATTGTGTGGCAAAATGTAGATATGTTGAGGGAACGAAGGTGTGGGGTTATATGGTGGCGGGTTTCAACGGAGATGACTATATCAACCCTACGTTGTCATTTGTTGATTGGAGAGGATCGATATGGCGAAAGAAGGTGGGTTGATGACCATCGGTGACGGTGATCAAATGAAGGGATTGGTAAGCATGTGATGTCGTATATAACACTAATTCATAGTTTATATTTCTTTCTTAAAAAGTAAAATGAAAAACAATATTAAAATGTCTTTCACTTAACGATCTTCTTAAACACTCGTTATTGGGAGGGATCGATTGCAGGTGTTTATGCAAATCATGATTATTAGGTTGTGGTTTTTAATTTGGTGGCACAAAACCATGGTTTGTTAAAAATTATCATTCTCCGTCCCTCTGGTTTTTAAAATTACATTTTTTGTCGTTATGATTTCTAATTCGCTTCACTTTTGTTTCTTTGACTAACTTTGTTAAAAAAAATCCGTGAAATAAGAGTAATTTGGTCCTTTTACGATTTTTTATTGAATTGTATATTGTCGTACAAGTTGTTAACGTATAAGAGCATCTCCAATCGAGTAAGTAATATGAACTTATGTAAAGAGCGACTACCTTAAAACTTTGATAAACGACACATATAGAGTAATTTCTTCTAGGGGTGAACAAAGTTGGATACCTGGCCAAAATTCATGGAATCAGAACCTAGATTGCTTACATCAGTTCTTTAAGTTTAAGAACCGGTCCTGGGTCCGATGGGAACCTGTTCCAGTACCACGTACTTGGTCTCTAAAAAAATCGGAGAGATGGAGAAGAAACATAAGTGCTCGATGTTTTGTAATTACATACTTGCAGTGCTCGATGTAGAAGGAAGGCAACCAAATCAGTAACCAAACAAAAGGAACAGAATAACCAAATCAGTAACCAAATAAACATAGCAGCTAACCAAATCAGTAACTAGTGTTCATGAGTCGCGAGTCATGGAGATGGATAAGAAACATAACATGTAGTCGTGACTCGTGACTCGTGACTTGACTTCATTCGATGAAGGAGGGAGGAAGAGTCGAAGAGGTGTTATGTGCTCGTTTGTTCTGTTCGATAAAGGAAGAGAAGCAGTAATGCTAGGGTAAGTCACAAGTGTAACTTTTATATTCAAATTAGTGCTCGGCACCGTACGTTGCATGGCGATCATAACACATGTCAAATAATATACAAAAAATTGTGAACCACATCAATATCCCTATACTTCAAAATTGAAAATACTAAATTTTCATTGTGCATTTGTAATCTTTCCAATGTTTCAAGGCATCATTCTCGTTTCATATACTTAACTGTTTTTCAAGAAAAAAAATTCTCATTAATATGGATTAAGATTCAAGTCAAATTCAACCACAATTAATGATTTGAAAATATTAAATTATAACGTGTCACATCAATATCTTATAACATTATATATTAATTAATTAAATTAACTTTTAATATAGATTTTTTTTTTTTTTGTAAAAAGAGGATTAGCCAAAAATCATATGTTAGGAGGGTCAACCAAATAAGTTCAACACCATGAGTTTAGATAATCATTCAAGGGAGTCAGCCCTATGAATTGTCACAGAGACATCCCAATCTTGCTTTATATATTTATTATTCAGTGTCAATCTTTTATCTACCTATCAATATGTGATAGAAAAAACTAATCAGAATTCAAGATTAAATAATACTCAATCTTAGGTGTCACATTGATGGTTGTGGTTCTTACTTCTAAATATAGAAAGAATAAAGATTATATATAAAATTAAATTTTAATATTGATTAACCCTTGCAAAAAAGAGAGTTGGCCAAAATAAACCAACCCCATGTGTTCGGAGGATCGGCCAAAATGCTCTAACTACAGGTGTTAAAAGAACCAACCTCATGAGTTGTCACAAAGGCATCTGGACCTCATTTTACATATCCAACATTTTTGTCAATCTTTCAACTATCAATCAGTGTGAGATATATAAAACTCAATCACAATTTAAGATTGAAGAATATTCAATTATTAAGGTGTCGCATCAACGGTTCCGCTTCTTACTTTCAAAAACATATTAAAATTATCTCTTCAATTAATATTTAGTATAGATTAATTTTGTCACAAAAAAAGGGCATGTTTGGAAGGTCAGTCAAAATGATCCAACCACGTGAGTTTAGACAATTGCTCCAAACATTCAAAGATATTCATGGCTTATATAGCCAAATGAATCTTTTAATTTTCAAAGGGAACTCATATTTCTCTTATATTCTCATTTTTCTCATTGACGTATCAATTTCTAATCAATGTGGATACCAAAATCTAACTACAATGCAAGAATTTTAAAATATTTGGTTTTAATGATGCCACCTTATTAATTTCTAGTTTTCTTTGTATTGATATATTGATTTTTTTTTATATAGACAATTTTTTTGCAAATAGGGGGTTCGTCAAAATGAACACACCCCATGAATTAGAGGGTTAACCAACAAGAATTAGTGATATGGGTTTATAAGATTAGCCAAGAGAACCCAACCCCGTGAGTCAAACTAAAGACACATCACCTCCTCTTATATACATACCTTCAATTGTCGATCGTTCATCTCTCTATCAACGTGGGATACACAACTCAACCTCAATGCAAGAAATATATAATACTCAATTCTCATGGTGACACATCATTTCTTGTGAATCTTACTTATTTATAGAGAGAGCCCTATATATATGTAAAGATGTTTTATAAAAGTGACTTTTTTACAAAGGGTGGCCAACATGAACCAACACTTCATTTTGTTCAAAGTTTTCAACTTTTCACCAATGTGGGATATCTCAAACTCAATCATAATTCAACAACACCTCAATACTCAATTCTCATGATGCCACCTCAATACTCTTGGTTCTTCCTTTAATATATATACCCTGTGAGGCAAACCTTATATTTGACACAAAGTCATCCAATATATATATATATATATAATAATATAATATAATTAAATTTGCACTATAATTTCTACCATTGGGTTTGATTTGTTTTCAACCATGGTTATAGATTTCAAAAGGGTCATCCAAAGAAAAAAACCCAATGAGGCAAACCTCATATTTGACACAAAGACATCAAATTATATATATAATAATATAATATAATTAATCTTAAACTATAATTTCTGTCATTTCGTTTGATTGGTTTCCAATCAAAAGGGTCATCAAAAAAAGACAACCATATGAGGCAAACCTCATATTTGACACAAAGGCATCGAATCCACCTTTTTTATACACTTCATTTTGTTCAAAATTTTCAACTATTCACCAATGTGGGATATCTCAAACTCAACCACAATTTACCAACACCTCAATACTCAATTCTCATGATGCCACATCAATACTTTTGGTTTTCCTTTAATATATATATATATATATATATATATAGTTTTATTAAAAAATATATAATTAAATTTATTTAAAAATAGCGGGCATCTGTCGGTTCCGGTTATGGGTACCCAACAGAACTAGCTACTGGTTCCAAAAAATGAGAAATGAAACCAGTCCTGACCGGTTCCGTATTTTAGGAACCGGGACCAATCACATTTATTCTATTTTTTGAACCGATAGTTCCGGAGTGGTACCGGTTCCAAAGGTACCTGCTTTCGACGCTCACCTCTAATTCCTCCCCAAATAACAACATCAAATACATCTACTTTGTATACAAGGGTTATAACCAACAATTCTGAAACACAATCTTACACAAGATCTAGGTTAAGAACAATTGATACTAAACCTACGTACGAGATACCATCTCCAAGGTAATCAAGGTGTGCCAAATTCGTGCCTTTATCACAACTCGACTCGTCACAAATGATGCTGGTATCGCCCCTCTGATGCACATGGTAACACTTCATAGCCAAATCAACACCTTCCACTGTTGACTATGATAAAAAAAAAACAAAGCGTAGATCAACGTAGTGCCTCAATATTCAATTGACCTTAGTGCCTACTCATTTGAGTTTCATCTCAAGGCTCGTGTCCTTAGTGCCCAACCCTCTGGGTAGCACCCTAAGACTCATAGGTCTTGGTCCCTATCCCTCCAAGTAGCACCTCATGACTTGATAATTTTAGAGCCTACTCTATAGAGTTTCTTATCGCCATAATCTCTCTATGTTTGCCCTCCGGCATCTACAACCCTTTTCCTAGGTGTGTTAGCGTCAACAAATATACAAAACTCAAGATGTACAACTTGAACATACTAAATGACTCCATAGGCATTCATTTCTCATATACATAACATCCGAT